CCTATGTGGCACGTGTTGAGCGGCCGGATTAACGGGACGCATGCTAGCTATCCCGCGCCGCCGACTTTTTGTCACATGTGACGCGGTCGTTGCTGCACCTGCGTCTGCGGCCGTTCGACCGCCATCAAGTGCCAGGATGACGACTACAGTCACTATCCTTGCAAGTGAGAAGGTGTATGAGAGGACGTGGATTTAGCGTAGCCACTGAGTACTGCTGGCTCAGGATGACATCATTTGGCAAAAATGGCCGCCTAGGCTGCACTCCAGTCCACGCTTCTTCCCACGCCCTCTCGTTTGCAAGAGTAATGGCTTAGGTCTGCGTTAGAAGCGGGTCGAGAGGATATTGTAGCGATGTTTCCAATTAAATGCGAACTGATGCACTCAGCAGCAGCTGTCATTGCAGGTGAATGGCTACCCATGGATTATTGGCAGTTCGCTAGCGGTTGGTATGTTCAGTAAGTGCACGATGGAATCACGAGACGCAACACCAATTTGTAATTTTAACTACAGGTATTACTTTGTCAACTTCGCATTTTTTCTCGGCCGTTTGAAGAGGTTAGTTCAGAAGACAACTAGCAGTTGGAAGGAGCAATATCTGAGCTACACCGAAGCTCGCCTACTTTTTCTTTTTATTCTTCTTCTTTTTGGAGAGGAGTTGCGTTCGTACAGTCAGCACCGACTTTCGGGCCTTTCCCTCAAACTCTTTCTTCCACCATCCTGGCTCCAGCATTAGAGCTGCCCGAGATCAAGGTAAAAGATGTGCATAAAGACGATGTCCCCAATAATCGAACAGTCATCCACGACGACAGCGCTTCGAAGCGAGAGCCTACAATTCTGAAGGCGATGTGAGTTCCGAATTCCATGCGAACTCGTTTGAGGGAGCTGCGGCTCGTGAAACTAGTCGATGAAAAAGCTGCATCCATGGTCAATCCCCACAAAAGTTGCTGTACAAAGCACCCTCCAGCAAGGTAGAGCCAAATGTCCTGCACTAAATATGGACAGATCTCCCTTCGCTCGAGCCAGGATGATGGAAGAAAGAGTTCGAGGGAGAGGCTCAGTCGGTGCTAGTACTGTACAGACGCAATTCCTGTCCATATTAAAAAGAAGAAGTAGGCGACAAGTGAGTGGTACTCACAGGAAATAACTATGACGACACAACGTCTTTCAAGCCAGCCTAATATGTTGTAGTGAAAGGTCATTTTGCATTCATAACTTACTTTGGCACTGCTTCAAAATCCTGGTTACTAATCCAGCAAAAAAATGGGTATCTTTAGCTATGAACACTTTTCTCGAAGCTCGAGCAACCTCGCTCCAGCACATCAAATCGACTGCTGCAACAGCACGCTCGACATCCTCTGGCTGTGCATCTATGCGAATCATGGGGTGCAACGATTCGGAGGGGGGGGGGTGGGCTGTTGCGGCGACGCGCAGTAGCTATAGTCTTGTCCATCGCAGATGCTGGAGTGCGTCGGGAGGCTGCGTTTGACTGGCGTCAGCGCGTTCTCTGCCGTTATGGAAGCTGGTAAATGACCAAATTAGGTGAACTGCCTGGCGCCACCACACCCAGCCCCTCACTGACACGCCTCAGCATCCGCAGCGAACAAGGCTGTGGCTGGATCTCCTAGCTGAGACACATAATGTAGCATTTCCATATTCAGTCAATTTTGTCCTAGTGCGAATACAGCCGCCCACGTTCCTACTTATACAAAGGCGCGTGGCCCAACGTGGATTCTTGACCCAGAATTGAAGCGCAAATGCAACAGATGGAGGACGTGAATGACTTGCTCGAAATAATTAAATCGTGTTCGAAACGCAATGACTGAAGACTTTTGAATATGCAAAAATGACATTTTCCAAAATTCACCCACCCTGGTATGACTGATCCCATGGTTTATCTTACGAGAGCGCTTCGCTGCTTATCCCCGTGCTGTGTTTTCTAGGTGGCTCATTCGCATTCTTTTCTTAAACGGATAGGCATGAGCAATTTTTTTAGGTCTTCTACTAGATGTGATCCTCTCCTGCATCTTGAAACTAGTGATTCAACGACCTCGCCCTGATTATAATATCAATGATCAGGTAACTCCTAAGAAATGTTAACAAGACCAAGAAGAGTTTTACTTTGAAAGCAAACCTCCTACGTCTGAAATAATTGGATTTTCAAGGCATCATATTACTTCTTGAATTTCTGGTTGTTTTCCATCATGGATGCCTCAGTGAGGTTCCTCGAGTGCCCATCAAGTCTGCCTTTGAACCGCTTGTGCTGACGCCAGCTCTTTTGCACGACTACCTTGGCGTGGACCCCGCCTTACATTTACAGTAGCAAAATAAAGTCTGGAACAAACCAAAGTCACGCGCCTAGCAGTTAGGAAACTGTTTGCTCGAATTAGATACGCCTGAAAAGGCCATTCCAAAAAGCAGCGTTTGGTTGATTAAAGATAAACTGTCAGTCTTTGCCATATATGAAGTAAATAAATAAGCCCGCAGCTGCAGTAACGCGCTACATTCTCCGCCCAAAAAAGGACGGGAACAGCTGTCGGGCAGTTATACTCCGACGCCCTCTTCATGTTCCTCACAGCGCTGCAGCACTTCTGGCCGCAAGTCTGACCGTAGCCAAGCGCGCTACTGGTGAACCATTTCACTCCTGGTTGACCTCTACGAATGAATGCGTGTTTTGCTGTGAGACTATGGTATCAATGCAAGCATTGCATATTGAGGATAGCAAGGGTGGAGTATGGAGACGATATCGAGTATCACTACCCCTCCTTTGTCGCCTCTCCCTGCCGTGCGCTTCTGAGCCTTTTAAGCGGAGAAAGTGGCACAGTGCGGACCCATTCACCGCTCAGGTGGAAAGGATAGGGATGGAAAGCCTGGCTGGCTTGAGTAGGATCCGTTCCGTGGCTTGACCCCCAAACAGCGCACGAGGTAAACCTCGCCACTTGTCGCCACACTACCTCCTCTCTACCAAAGTTAATACATTATATTCGTAGCTAGTGCTCCCGAGCGTCGAATAAGCCACTTCTTTTGGCTTTCTTAGATTCAGAGAAAGCCTACGACCGGGTGCGCCGTCGACTCATTCTTCGGAATCAACAAGTACTAGAGGCGCTTGTAAAAGCCGTTCAGCTGACTTACCGCTACCTTAAGCCGGTATCCGGACGCCTGCGGGAGTCACGCAACAATTCCCGTTACCGTAGATCGGCTCTTTCACCGCTGGTGTTCATTCTATAATTGCACTACACGACAAGGGAGATTAGGAAAGAGCCGCATCCAACGCTGGGATATCCTGATGACGTGCTGCTGAAGGACCGGTCCAAGAACAAGTTTGGAAAGGCGTGCCAATCCATGGGAGAAGGAACTCGCTTCCCATGGGCTTAAGCTGACATCAACAAAACGAGTACATGTGCACTGCCGCGGTAACCTCTTTCATTTGTTGTCAGTGGCACACCTCTGACCATGACTACGAAGTTTTCTCGCTTGGGTCTACGCTAACGGCGGATGGAGATGCCAAGGCCGATACAACATCAAGAATAAACGCGGCATGGAACAAGTGGAGGACTGTCACTGGCATTCTCTGCGATAAGAGAATGCCAATTCACCTGAAGTCCAAGATCTACACTTCAGTCGTAAGACCAGTCGCCACCTATGGAGCGGAGACCAAGCAGATGACGGCCGTGGAAACAAGAGCCTATGGTGTCATGGAGATGAAAATGCTGCGATGGAGCTTGGGACACACACGGCTCGAACGAATTCGAAATGAAACCATTCGTGGTAGGATCAAAGTCCAGCCGTGTCAGGGAGTCCAGTGTCCAACTCCCTTGCCGCATGTCGTCTTCGCTGGTATAGTCATGTTCTACGAATACGTGATGGTATATACAAGTCTGCTGACAAGATCTTTTTCGCCGGCAAACTTTCAAATGGCCGACCTAGATTGCGATGGATAGACTACCTGAGGCGAGATATGATTGGCACGTCTGTCCGCCGCAGCCGATGTCCGGAACAGGTATCGTTGGAAAGTCGTGGTGAAAAAGCGTATCCGACAAAAGTTGGACAAGAACGCTAGGATAAAGAAGAAGATTCTCAGCTAGTGCTCCGGTCACTGTTGATTTGAAATAGAATAAATAAGTCCAAACGGTTGAAGTGCCTTGCTGGAGGTTTTTTCTCTGCTAGTATACGTTGTTGTCCTCGGGTGCCTCACTTCACTTGATCGGTGCTCCACCTTCATCAGAAATTTCTTCTCCCTTCTTGTTAGTGACCACGGTCACCGTAGCCTCTTCAGCGCTGATTGCCATAGCGCAGCGCTACAGCTACGAGTGATATTTGTTACATTCACGTCGCGGTGAGAGCTAGATGACGTTGCACGCGCGCGACGTTTTGATCCAGGATCCATTCGATTTAGCGTGGCCTCTCTGGAGTGTTTCAAGTCAACTATATAGGAGATGCTCTGCTAGTCCGCGGGGGTAGTTAATGATATTCATGGCGCGCATGCTAGCAGTATATCTCCTAGCTAGAGAAATTAACGTGTTGCGGTATTGCCACTTCGGGTGGGTTGGGTACTGGCCTAACTTGTGCGCATCCGTATACTATAACGTGCTACGCCCCACCCCACGCTCTCCCCCTCGGAACTGAAATTTATAGAGTTGTGAAGATCTTAGGTTTTAAATTATTTTTAGACCTTATCACATCACAATTTATTTGTAGTGCTCTAACCATGCGAAGAGTATGCTTCAATTTGATTGCTGTGGAATGTCTTTTCAGAAATTCGAAGCTCCAATTGCTGATAAGTTCTCGTTTCCCTCTGGACACAGCCTCTAGAGCAGCAATGCTCGCTACTTTATGGTTCGTCTTTACTGTTAGTGCAGTGGTTAGGCCGCTGCGACACTGAGAATACGGAGAAACTGTGAAAAGAGTGGATACCATTGTCGCAGTCAATCGGGGCGGTCTCAGGGGACTGAGCGTTTTCTAACACTGGTTGTTCTCCTGCTGCACCAGTCACTATAGGTAGAAAACGCAGTCAGGGGTGGGTCATGCCACGCCTTCCGACAACGCCCCGAATGATTGTGGCTGTATCAACTGTCGTGTGCATTGATCTGGAGGGACGGAAGGATAAGAAACTTATTGATTAATCCCCGGCTCTACAGATCAATGCGTATGCTTTTTTCGGGGATTCTCGGATTCTGCAGTGTCGCAACCTTTCAACGTGGTGGTCCTTTCAAGTCTTGTTTGCTGAGGCGTTTCGGGGGAGGGGGGTGGGGAGGGGAGTGCTTGCTGGCTTCCACAATCAATCGATGCAGCCTCAGCCCTCCCCTCTTGGAAAGCTCGAGACCCATAGCGAACAAAGCTATAGCTCTGCCAAGCAGCGTTGGTATAGCCATTTGTGCATTTTAAAAAGAACTACTCGATAATTAAGAAATTTCAGCAGTGCATTCTTTCCCAAATATCGATTCGCTGCTATGCTAATGGCGTTGGTGGTAGCAACGAGTCGTGTGGCGATGGGACGTCATTATTTAAGCGATGCACTCGGAGGTGAGCATTGAACCGTTAATCTGATTCTGTTGGAACCATCGGGAATTGATTTGACACTATTCCTTCCCCAGTCTCCCTTAATCAGGCCGGTTCTTTACCGACTTTTTTCTGCCTAGGCCGATTTGGATGAAAATTCGCCTCCTGGGATGGTTAGACCTTCTGAGCACGAATATTACATCAGTCAGCCCGAAACTGCCTGGCGCTACCGGCGATGAAACACCCTAGATCACCAAAGTCGATAAAATTTGTACACGGGGTTATTTGACTTCCCAATTGCGATATGACATTTACTCCTGGCACCGGCGCTAACGTAGGACACTATGATCATCTGCGCTCTGCTGAGGCTGAGCCTGGCCTGAAGGGAATCACTCCTTCTCCCAGGTTCGGCCTTAGCAGAAGGCTAAATGGCGCTGGTGTCGAGAAAAAATGCTATATTCGTGATTAGGGCACAAAACAACCCTCTTACGCAATTTTTTTATCAATTTTGGAGGAAACGGTGTGGGGCAGCGTTAAAAGTAAATGCCATATCCGTGATCAGGATTTCAATTAACCCCCGTATAGAAGTTCCATCAAATTTGGTGAGGAAAAGTAGTGGCGTCATGTTGGCGCCTAATTTCTCCGAAGAGCGCCAGTGCCAAAAATGAATGTCATATTCGTGATCAGGTCAGGACATTGTATGACATCTATAGGCAGAGTTGCAGCAAATTTTTTTTTTTTGAGTTTTTGCGGTAGGGAACGTAGTTCAATAGTGCCACTTGATTTACTGCGTTTTCCCCACCTACTCGAAAATCGCCACGTTTCCAACCATCGAAGTAGGCACGCCCTCTTGAGCTTTGCGATAAGGGCTGTGGGGAGGGGGACGCAATGTAGCGATGCCCTCTGTACAACCATGTTCTGCCAAGGCCTCCCGGCTGTAAAAGTCCTACTGAGCTTTTCGCCCCGTACAGCGCGTTTTCTGGGTGATACAGTCAGTATCCTCGAAAATGGAAGCGTGTGAGAGGGCGTGGATCGGGGCTGCAGCCTGGACGGTTTTTTCCACCAGTTGTGCCGTCCTGGTGGAAGCGGCTGTCCTGGCTGCGCGCAGATTGAGGCATGTCATGGTTGGGTAGAACTCTCGCGGAATAGCCTCTCGAAATTTCCCTCTCTAGTGTGACCCCTTCCCTCCCCATCCCCTTTCCCACCCGCTTTCTTCCCGAATCCTCTCAACTACCTACAGGTTTTGCAGTTTCTCCTGAACTGAAGCAGAAGGTATATAATGCGGTTAAATGGAAAAAATAGGAGTGTCAGCAAACATTTTTCACTCAGCGGTAGGCGCTTAGGAATCCTCCCCCTCCCTCCTCCCTCGCTTTTAATTGGGACCATCCTGCTGTGATTCTCACAACGATAGCGTGCCGTGGGTGCACACCAATTGGCGGTCCATCACCGCGCCCTCCCCTTTGAACGGATAATGAGTGAGCGCTGATTCGAGCATCCGCAAGCCCCACTAGACACTTCTCTCTTCTCTTCTTCTTCCTAGCGTTCTTGTCCAACGTTTGTCGGGTACGCTTTTTTCACCAAGGCTTTCCAATGATCCCTGTTCCAGACGTCGGCTGCGGACAGACCAGCAGCATTCATGTCCCTCTTCAGGTTGTCTATCCATCGCAATCTAGGTCGGCTATTTGGACGTTTGCCGGCGAAAAAGATCTTGTCAGCAGATTTATATACATCACTTATTCGTATAACCAAGCCAGCGCAGACGACATGCGGCAAGGGAGTTGACACTGTACTCCCTGACACGGCTGGACTTTGATCCTACCACGAATGGTTTCATTTCGAATTCGTTCGAGCCGTGTGTCCCAAGCTCCATCGCAGCATTTTCATCTCCATGACACCATAGGCTCTTGTTTCCACGGCCGTCATCTGCTTGGTCTCCGCTCCATAGGTGGCGACTGGTCTTACGACTGAAGTGTAGATCTTGGACTTCAGGTGAATTGGCATTCTCTTATCGCAGAGAATGCCAGTGACAGTCCTCCACTTGTTCCATGCCGCGTTTATTCTTGATGTTGTATCGGCATTGTCATCTCCATCCGCCGCTAACGAGGTAAGGGAACCTTGGTCGGAGGCGCTGCTTCAGTCACAATTGGAGAAGTCACTGGGGCAGCGCACATGTACTCGGTTTTGTTGATGTTCAGCTTGAGTCCATGTGCAGCGAGTTCCTTCTTCCATCGGTTGGCGCGCCTTTCCAACTTGTTCTTGGACCGATCCATCAGCAGCACGTCATCAGCATATCCTAGCGTCAAAGGTGGCTCTTTCCTAATCTTCCTTGTCGCATAGTCCAAACATAGAATGAACAGCAGCGGCGAAAGGCCGATCCTTGGTGTACACCTACGGTAACCGGGAATTGTGGAGTGTCTCCTACAGGCGTCCGGATACATGTTGTGGAATGGCGGTAGGTCAGCTGAACGGCATTTACCAGCGCTTCTGGTAACTTGCTGATGTCGAAGGGCTTCCCAAATTAGTTGACGGGGCACCCGGTCGTAGGCTTTCTCCAAGTCTAAGAAAGCCAGGTGAAGTGGCTTATTCCACTCTCGGGCCTTTTCCATCATGCGACGAGCAACATGGATAGCGTCGGTGGTACTGTGCTCTGGTCGGAATCCGCACTGCATCTCACTGATATCCACTATTTTCCTGAGTCTGGCTTCCAGCACTCGTTCGAATATCTTCAGAGTGTGGCACATCAGACGAATAGGGCGATAGTTGGAGCAGTGGGCGATGTCTCCTTTCTTCTTGTATATTGGCACCGTGACACTTTTCATCCAGTCTGTTGGGATTTCCCTTCCTCTATACACTTATTGAAGAGCTGTGTGAGATATGAGCGCCCTCCAAAATACTTCCAGACTTCCGCTGGGAATATCGTCTGGTCCAGTAGCTTTCCCGTTTCTCATCTTTTTAATGGCCACTTCGACTTCGTCCTCGCTGATTCGAGGGATGGGTCATGGATTAGTGGTTCACTGACGAGAGCGGGATGTGGTATTTCCACGTAGCAAATTTCGTGGTATTCTTTTTTCCAGCTTGATTTCACTGAAATCGTGCAGAAGTACTCCATCGCTGGCCTTGATGAACGTCGTCGTGTTGACGAAGTCTTGTGTTGCTCTGGAGCGCCACCTGGCAAGGCAGTAAATCTGCTTTTCACCTTCCTTGGTGTCCAGTTTCGCGACCAGTGAGTCTGCCTTGCTTCTTGATGGCACTAGCGATTGTCTGCCTGGCTTTTCTCTTAGCCTCGCAATAATTCGCTCTGGTCTCGTTCGTTGGGTTGAGATGCCATGCTTTGAACGCATTTTTCTTGGCTTTCACCGCATCTGCTACGTCATCATTCCAGAACCAAGCGGGTCGATCTGGTGCATGTTTGAACTCCTTTTTGAAGCCGATGACTCGCGCGGTATCTCGGATTTCTTTCGTTTGCTTCTTCCAGTTCTCCTCGACGTCCGGGCGCGGCTTGGTGGATCACCGTCTATAAATGGTCTCTCGCATTTGGCCCCAGTGCGATCCTATTCCTTCTTAGAAGCTTTCTGTTAATCCTCGAGGCTTGTAGGCATCCTGATAACGGCGATTACTGGACGGTGCTGACTGTTGATTGTTACCGATGGTATCACCTTGCAGTCTATCACATCGCTCCGTTGGTTTCTTCGTGTCAGAAATGTAGCTCTCCAGTGTAGTACGTGACCAGGTTTGACTCTCTCTTCTAGAGTTTAGCGAAGATCACATCTAATTAGCATATTCCAACATTCGCAAACCATCTTCATTTCTTGTGCCGTAGGCGAATCGCCCTTGGATGTCTTCAAACAGGTCATTGCTCGCGCCGATGTGCCCATTGAAGTCTCCCATGACGTAAAGGTCTTCATTGATTGGACACTTAAATGTTACATCAGTGAAACGTGTACTTCACAGTACTGGGCAGATTTGCTTGCGGGGCATACAGCCAGATTGTATTGGTTGCTCTCTTGCCGAAAAATCATAGTGACCAACATGATGCTATCCGAAATCCT